TACACACATACATATATTATACACACACACATACACACACACACACACACCTCTTTGAGATGGCACAATAATACGCCGTTCACTTGCAGAACGCAATTTATCATTTATAATGCTGCAGCTAAACAGTTTATCTTTTGTTGTTGTTGTTGTTTGCAATAGACATGTTTGCACAAATAGCACAGACAGCAATCATTGCAATGACAGAAATAACCTATATATATATATATATATTTTTTTCTAATTATATAAGTAAATTTAAATTTTTTGATTCACTGGTTTGCAATGGTTATGATTCTACATATTCTGTATGGCTTCTGCCAAAATTCCCCATCAGTGTGTTTGGAAATACCCCCAATTGGTTGGTTTCATTAACTTAACACTTTATGAATTAGATTTGACAATTTTAGTGTGGATTTATATATATATATGCCACAGTTGTTCTTTTCCATACAACAAAAGTGCATGGTGGTCACTGACAATTTCAGAATGTCAGTTGGACATTTCCTTGGTTTATTAAAATAATAATAATAATAATAAAATTAAGAATAGAATAGAATATGTGCATATGCCTCTGGAGACACCCTAAAGGGCTCTTTACGGGATATTTTCAGAGGGCATGTCTGGTTACTTGGATCTAGTCTGTAATCCAGAATCAGTCACATCAATACAGTCTCATAGCACAAATTCACGTAGCCTAATCGATAGAAAACATCAACTGTAATTAATGAGAAAAAAGGCGAGGCAACCCAGTAGCACAACCAGAGAAGCGTTTGCAGGCAATTCAAAAAATCCTCATCTCAACCCCCATTTTAAATCGGATCACAGTCCACAGGGATGCAATGTAACACAGTGATAATATACTGAACGTTCCGCTACCAAAACGACCGCATATGCGAAGCGCGGTGAACATATGAAGAATAATGCTGGTTACTAAATACAAGCATGCATCCCCATGATTAGACAACTACACTGTCGTTGAAGAAAGGCGTTGCATGCCATTATTAGAACACCGAATCAGCATTCGGTCAGCGATGAAGCGTGACCACGACTTGTAATAAAAATGAGTCGTCGATAATTTCTACAGGATTCCGCCACAAGCGTGATATCAGACACAGAGACACAGTGAGGGCTGAATTCAGACACCCGTGAACACAGACGACATGAAGAGCTGGAATCATGGCCGCATCTCTGTTCTGTAGAGGTGGAGGGAGGAGGTGCGTTCCAACAAAGCATCCTTCAAGCAAAATCGATTTACAATGAGCTTGAACTCACAGACATATTCAGATTTTTGAGATACATTATTCCTTTTTATATGGAATTAGTCGCATTAATCGAATTCCCTAGGGCATCGCAGTCAGTGCAGCAGGATTTTTTTTTAGCTGGTATTAAAATGACACATTGAACGCAGCAGCTCTCGCAATTTGCGTTCAACTGATAAGAAATAAAGGAAACATACAGGAATAAGGTATGCACGTCTGTGGGTTTAATCTTGAAAACGACCACGTTAAAATGTGGGTATTTGGTGAAAACTCCCATAAATACCGTTACATGTATGCCTGGTTCAGTTGGAATAATCTTGTCAGTCACTCACGTATTTTTCATATGAGACCTAGCTTTTTTGTCCCCCAATAAGCGAGTCCGTATTCGAGCATATTCTATATACAGGGCATTAGTTTATTAATACGCACGCAGCGCAGGCCCGATTTAACAACATGACATGCAACGCCGATTAAAATTTACAACTAGGGGACGCATGTTTCATGTTTGATACAAATCACCTTCGAATATAGTGCACACATTAATAAATCGCATTTAAAGGCAGCTTTGACAGGTTTTACGTACCTGTGCACGCGTCGCTGTTATTGTCTCTCCTCCAGCTGCAGTCGCTCACTGAGCGGAGCGCACGAAGAGACCTGCTGTTTCTATAGCGGCCTGATCAAGAGAGGAGGCGCTAGAGAGACACGACAGATTCCTCTGCCTGGGAGAATAACCTGGTTTCTTGATAAGCTTTCATTAGGCGCCGCGCTCAATCAAATATAATAACTCGTCTATTCGAGGCAAAATCGAAAGCGTATTGTTTACCGTGGATGGTACCAGTAATCGGACACTACGCCTACTCTTCAAAACGTACGAAGGAATTGCATTATAAAACATGAAACAAAGTGCCATTCACTGTGAGTGAGGACAGCAAAAGTCAAATAAAAACCAGACAAAACCACCTGTGTGAACGAACTTCATGCATCCACTAAAATCACTGTCATTAGCTGGTTCTTCGCAAAAATGGTTTGGAAAGTGAAGGTAATTCTGAGAAACGCTCCAGTGGGTCCTGCCATTTCTTTGCAGATTCATGGATTTTTAAGTGGCTTAGTGTCTAAATACTTATTGGCTGGCCAAAGTGAAAATGATAGTGGCCCCAAAAATGATTTGCTGCTTTTCTCATAGCAGTCATGAGACTTTGTACTGAGAAATCTCAAGAGACAATTGTACTCACCAAAGAACTCTGAGAACATCTAACAATCTCTCTCTCTTTCTCAGTCTCCTCTGGACATGAGCCCAGAGAAACATCTGTCAATTGATTTTCCCAGAGCTGGGAAAAGGGTTTGTCTTGAGCTGGACTTTCCTGTCCATCAGGCGTTTCTTAATATCCGGAGGTCACTTCCCTGAGCACCTGCTTATAACATGCCAAGTAGGTTTTGAGTATGGATGCCCGCTTTTTAAGCGGTGTAATTAGCTAGTATATTATTGAGGACAAAAAAATATATATACATTGATTCTAATTATACTGAGAATCTAATTAAAATCATTTCAGAATGTAGCAAGTGAAATGGCCGATGCAACATATATCATATTCATACCTCGAAATTTTGCACAACTGGACGCGGATGAAGTACCGTGAATAACTACTAGAAGTCATAATAATGCAGTGTATGCTTTGACGACACATTCTACGAGTTTTCTAGAATCGTATGCCACTTAAGTTAGGTAACATGCAAGAGGGATGTGGTTCAGGCCTATATAAATGTAGATAAGATTTACAGAGATATTGTGTGAAAATGGTCAATAATATGGCTCCAGTCATAGTCAATACCTTCAGTGGCATACGGGACCCCCACCCCTGTGGTGGGCCCCAGAAAACTTTTTTTTCCTGATCTTACCCTTAAATTTAGTTTTGTTGGTGTAACCTATTTATAATGTCAATTAACTTTAACGTTTTTTTAAATAAAATTAATTCATTTAGATATTACCACATGAAGCACATTTTTAGATTATCATTATGCTTAACGTGGCTTATTGCATTAACACATGAAAATACTAAATTCAATACAGCTACACCTTGATGATGCAAACTATGTTTTTATGCCCTGATCCGCTGCTGTGCTTCTTTGACAACAACCTATTTCAAATGGCAAATGCTTTAGCAGTTCAGTACACTGACGACTTGTCCCCAGATTTTGCATCGTTCAGAAATGCCATGATGTCCAAAATACAGGAGATTGAGTGTGGCTCCACTGCAGATCTTGCACAGCTGTTATCTTTTAAACACCACTCTGTCCTGCTCAGTGTCCCCAATATTGCAACAGCTCTCAAGTTGTTTCTAACTTTACCTGTAACGGTTGTAACTGCTGAAAGATCGTTGTCGAAATTGAAAGTGATCAAGGGTGCTATTCCCAATAACGTTGTCTCTTAGCACGCTACATAATGTTTCTAAACTTAAAAATAATTGTGAAATAAAAGTATTAAAACAATACAGTACAAATGCAAACGGGGCAAAATAAAATGCATTGTAAGTATATATCATTATATTATTTACAATACACAGTGTGGTTTTAAATGATATTTTTAAGGGGACATCCCTCAGATGGGGTAGGTTTGAGATTATTTATTTGCTATATTCTATATTTATTTGGTATAGATAAATGTGTGTGTGTGTGTGTGTGTGTGTGTATATATATATATATTCACCAAACTTAGGTGTAATTTCTTTTGTATGTTTGTGTGTGTGTTTATTGCAAAATGTTTACTATATACAATAAACAGTTTTTTTTTGTAACTACATGCACTGGACACGGTGTTCTCCATTTTTTGATGTAGTGTCTAATGAATGATCTGTAGTGTGAATATTATTGACTAATGTGTGTACGATTTGAAAGCTTTGTTTTGATTTGGAGTACAGGTGAAATGTTTTGAAGTGATTGTTTGATTTTGCCAGAAGAGTCAGGGGGTCTGTGAATTTAGTTTGAAGGTTTGGATTTGTGCTTAAGGTTTTGAGAAAATGAGTGATGGTTTCAAGATATGTGTTTTAGCAAATGTTTTGCAGGGGGCCTCACAGATGTGCGGTACACCACTGAATACCTTAAGATCAATTTGTCGGTTTAGTACCAAAATAAAATTGTGAGTATGATGTGTTAATTTCAGTGTGGAATCGTTTTCCTTAGTCAGTCATATGATGTGAATCCTGTCTGAACTCTAGGATCGTACCAGTGTTCCGCTTAATTTAATCTACCCATAAAAAAGGGTAGCAACAGTGACTCATAGAAGAAGCCTATTAGACTTCAGTCAGTGTTTCATGTTAAAATCACAATGCTTTACATTGCATTAGCTGACAAAAGTGAAATGGCACATTAAAGTCCACAGACTAGTTCCAACAGTAAGTACACCTCAAGTATGTTCAGAATAGAATAAATACAACACTTAAAGCTGCAAGCAGCGTTGAAAGGGCCCTTGCACCCGGAACCACCTCCACCCGGTGTCCTTAGAAATGCACATTGCCCACCATTCGTTGTTTTTCTATGTTCCAAACTTCCTGCTGCCAGCTGGTGGCGCTGTGATAACTGCTGAATATTGAGATGTAGATGTCTTCAGGCCACATCGAAAATTGAACATCGAAATTTGTCAGGCCGCCACAGACACACCCTTTAATGAAAACTCAAGATCTTCGCAATTTAACATTGCAAAAGGCCTTTAGATTAGACTGACCAAATATAGTGTTGATGTTATTACATTTCGAGGAGTTTGTTACAGAGTAAAACATGTCACGTCCTGTTGCCAGCGGATGGCGCTATAACTGACTTATTTTATAAGTCCGACACTATAACTGAATATGGGCATGGGCATGTGTTCAGGACATGACTCCTATCAAACATGTGAAGTTTGGGGCAGATCAGACATTGTATGCCGGAGTTATAACAACTTCCTGTTTCATGGTGAAACATCGAAATTTGTCAGACCTCCACGGACATACCCTTCAATGAAAAATCAAGATCATCTCAAATTTAACATCAACGGCTTTAGATTACACTGACCAAATTTGGTGTTGATCTGATTAAATCTCTAGAAGTTTTTAAAATACAATGCCTGAAAATGGCAAAAACAACACACAATTTGCTGAGAAAATGTAAAATAACTGACTTCCTGTTGAGTTTCGAATTTTGCTTCAAGAGACTTCACCCTTTCAGGGCTTGGGCCCTAAACCTTAGGGGAGCAATAGGGCCCTGTGCCCCCTAGGGCTTGGGCCCCAATAATAAACGGAGCAATTTCAAGAGGTTCCTCAGACCACGGTGCTCGGGTCCTAATAAAAGGAGCGATTCCAAGAGGGTCCTTGCACCGCGGTGCTCGGGCCCTAATGATATTTAATCATATTTAACATTATGGACACCTTTAACCACAAGGCACAAATAAAACAAATGGCACCAGGAAAATGCAGCATTCATCATTGCATGTTACACAGCGCTGATATGCGTGCAGTTGTAATGAGTTAAAGACTGTAAATTAAATACACAGATCAGAAAAGTCACCTATAGGACAGTGGAGAATAGTGCTGTGCGATATTGAAGAAAAATGTGGTATTGGATATGCGATACGATATTGCTTTGTGTGAAATCAATTTAAATTATATTTAAAAATATTTAAAAACTAAAAATGATATAACCAATGTATATGTTTCACGTTCTTTCTTGGAAAAGAAAGCATCACTACAACTTCTGAAAGTGATCAGCAGTGTTTTAGCATTGCATAAAAAGCAGTCATAAATCGAAAAAACAAAGATTCAAATTAAATAAACAGTGCTTTAACTTTAAGTCAGGCTTACATTAGATATATTTAACAGTAGCATTCAAGAAACAATATAGAAACTGAATAATCAAATGTAAAACTAAAACACTGCATAGTCTTCACATGAATTAATATACGTTGATTCATAATAAAGCTACAAAGGTTAGTCAGTCAAGAGCAGTGAGTGATGTTCTCTTTTTCTTTTGTTGTTTGACAGACAGCTGCAGGTTTACTGTATTAGGCTGCTGGGATCCTATTGCTCCAAATCCTGCGATATTGAAGAAAAATGTGGTATTGGATATGCGATACGATATTGCTTTGTGTGAAATCAATTTAAATTATATTTAAAAATATTTAAAAACTAAAAATGATATAACCAATGTATATGTTTCACGTTCTTTCTTGGAAAAGAAAGCATCACTACAACTTCTGAAAGTGATCAGCAGTGTTTTAGCATTGCATAAAAAGCAGTCATAAATCGAAAAAACAAAGATTCAAATTAAATAAACAGTGCTTTAACTTTCAGTCAGGCTTACATTAGATATATTTAACAGTAGCATTCAAGAAACAATATAGAAACTGAATAATCAAATGTAAAACTAAAACACTGCATAGTCTTCACATGAATTAATATACATTGATTCATAATAAAGCTACAAAGATTAGTCAGTCAAGAGCAGTGAGTGATTTTCTCGTTTTCTTTTGTTGTTTGACAGACAACTGCAGGTTTACTGTATTAGGCTGCTGGGATCCTATTGCTCCAAATCCTATTTCTTTCCAAACTGTTCACATTCTCTTAAGACTAGGGCTGCATGATTATTAAACTGCAATCGCGATTTGGCAAAGGCTGTGATTTTTCACATGTGCAGCTTGTCAGTGAAGCACAGTTCTGTGATTAGTAGTAAATACTGCTACATCTGAAGGCCAGAGGGTTCTCTCATGCTGAAACTCCAACTCTGTTCCGCAGAAGAAAGGAAATGCACGTCGTTCCAGGAAATCCCTATAGGGGTTATGCACAACAGACTTCCGTATTCTGTTTAACCAGTTCTCGTCGCTTCCAGTTCAAGCGTTTTGCATATACTTAATTAAATATGAAGCAGTTTTACTCAAGATGCCGTCAAAGTAGAGACCAATGATGATCATAACCAATGTCCATCACATATGCGGACTGATATCTAAAAGTTTATTATTCTTTTCACTAACATTTAGATATAAATAAAACAAAAATAGCTAGCTAGTTTAACTGCTTATCTTAAAAGTCCATAAGATATCGCTATTTAATACGGCTGTTAACCTGTTCTCTGACAAGCGGAAGAGATGAGAACTGTTTTCCGGGTTTGGTCAGGTGACGTTCAACATATACCCTATTGCTGCAGCTGAATAAACAAAAGATTGAACTGCTTTCATTGATTTAAAGTGACTAATAAACACACGACTATGACAACATATGGTTTAACGGAGTTCTTATTATAATTTTCATTATAATAATGTATTTATAATGCAATGCTAATCAACATAGCCTTTATCACTGCATAGAGTACTATGAAATATGTTGCATGCCTTATTTTGTGTAAGAAGCCACATCATCTCACAGAATGATTTTAAACACTCGACTGTTATGAAGTGAGCTTGGAGTAAAAACATTAAATGTTGACTTTTGTTGGACAAGAAGTTCATAAATGCTTCTCATGTTTGAAAGATGTTTGACACTGGTTGCTTTTTCAAATGCATGTTATAAGTGACAAAAAACTTGCCGTGCTTTCTAATGGAGCAGCATTTACTACTGCTTGTGCACGCGCTTCAGGTGTTTGTCAGACAGAAGGCACGAGACCGCAACGAGTTGTTTTTTGCAACTTATTGCACTTAGCTCTTTTTAACGTCAAGCAAGTCATGCAAGTAACTTTTCGCAACATTTAGAAGTAGCCTATTATTGAAATAATTCAGATATCGCATGCCATCGCAATATGTACATCTGCGATATTTTGATCATTTCGATACATCATGCAGCCCTAGTGGAGAACCAGCACCCCTAAAGTATAGGGAGAAAGAGGACCGATACATAAAACCAGGCCAGACTCGGGTCCCCACAAGCACAATAACGACTTTGTAATGGGCAACACACTTCTCTCTGTCCCACAGCTCCAACATCTCTAACTCAATAGCGAGATATGATTTCCGGAAATAGATGGGATTCGACAGCCATTTTACTGAGTATCCCAACTCATATGCAATAATTGTATGTCTTTTCCATTTGTTTCATCAACTTAATGATAATAATGCTGTCAACATCTTGAGATAGCCTCATTAAAAACTAGTAAATGATTAAGTTTTTGTTGAAACCACACCATATGACAAACACAATTACACATCAATGAGCCAAAGTGTTTAAATCAACGACAGAAAGAACCTTTCTTGCTAGCAAAATCATTTGAACATTTACACCAAAACGTATGCTACAGTCCATGTATTATACCAAATTTACACTACAAATAAGTGTTGCAGAGCACTCAATCAAGCCCACCATAATCAAGAAAGCGGTCAAAACTGCAAACACCAACATCTCACTGCTTACAGTGCAGGCAGTTTGGCTGATTTCAATGGTAGAAGTTTAGTTTTTAATTGCTTTGAGTATATAGTACCTAATAAACAATGTTTCATGATGGCCTCAGTGAAATTCTTTTATTCATTTGACGGTGACATTTACATTACACAAACCATAAAACACATTTTCAAAAATCAATTACAGCAAATATTATATTTTAATATACATTTTGTCAAAAGAAAACCTCATGAAATCCTTAAATATGATTAATTTACATTTATATTCCTATTTTATTAAGCAGGAGCGCAGAGATCAGTATCTGTAGTAGAGTAGCAGTCTTTAGGGAATACCACAAGACCTTGTCCTCATCTCATTGCCCATCATCTGCTCATCTTGTATATCTTGTTAGAAGTGGCATGATCAATGGTATGCTTGTTCCACAGATACAACTGCAAAACATGAACAATTAATTCAATAAAAGTTATGTTGATGAACATACTTCATAATATGAAAGGAATACAACCCATTTGGGTTAGTTCACCCAAAAATGAAAACTGCCATTTGCTCACTTTCATGTCTTTCCAAATCCATAAAACATTGTAAATGGTTTACTAAAGGTTATCTTGATGAGTATACTTCATAATAGAAAAGGAATACAACTCATTTGGGTTAGTTCACCCAAAAATGAAAACCGTAATTTGCTCACTCTCATGTCTCTCCAAATCCGTAAAAACTGTCTTCAGAACACAAATGAAAATAATTATATTTTTTTTGCCCTTCAACTGAAAGTCTATGTAAAGAAACGTAGATGAATGAACATCCTGTTCCTTGTGCATCACAAGCATATTTGAGCTTCCGTTTACCGTATTTGATGTGCTCCATGTATTATGTATTGCTCTATGTCAATCTATATTTATATGTAAATAAATTTTTCTGTAGAGACAAATGCTATGAAGAAAAGACTTTGAGTAAGCCACTTGGTTCAGATGGATTTCTTATATCATTTTGTACAAAGGGAATTATACCTTTAAGAACAGCAAAATTGTTTAGTAAATGCAAAAAAGGAAAACAAATCCCATACTACTAAAAAGAAATGAACAGTCTTAGCCAAATGTAAACGGTGCAACGTTAGTCAGTAAGCAATGTGAACTGTTAAGCTTTTAAAATAAATTAAAATCTGGACATTTGATATGCTTCTGAAAGACTTACCTAAAAGAGTCATACAGGTCATTCATACACCATACATCTTTAAATCTGTAACCTCCATTGTTGCCACAAGGTAAACGGCAGTAAAGATTATTCACCTGAAGGAACAAGACAAAAGAAATATATTTTCACTGAAAATGGACAGATGCAATAAAACTGATAATTTCTCTATATTTTGTGGACATTTTTCATCACTTATGTTGACCTAAGAATTTTAAGGGCCAGATTTACTAAAGGTAAATTAGTGAGCACAATTCAGAAAAATCACGGATGGGAGTGGGAAGTTCTGTGGGTGATATACGGACAAAGCGCAAATTAAAGAACACAGACACATCTCATTTCCATAATGACCAATGCAATCTAACTAGAGCAGTGAGTACTAGCATAAGGCTACAAACAAGCAGAGCCAATGCTAATTAGTTGCAGCTAATCTACTAACACACGTTTGTAATCTGACAAAACGTGTGTGTGTGTGTGTGTGTATAGTGAGAGAAAAAGAGATTGATTAAATATCATTAAATGTGTGAACGGTTGTAAAACCTCTAACTGCTTGCAAGGGGTAGATGCAACTAAGGTTGTGGCTTCTGCATGTGCCGTTACTGGTGTTGTTGAATTTTAGGCTACGTTCACACTGAGTTCTGACACATCACTGTAACTACCTTTCTACCTTTCACAACGGTCTTGATAACTTTTGGTAAGTAAAATCTTTGAGGTGCATGAGTGCAGAATAAGTGACGAATGTTGATCTAGGGTGACGTAAAAGTAGCATGAATTCCAATATGACAGTTCACACTGTGGTCATACTCTGCAAAACATCTGGCCTGTATCGGATTTAGTACCACATATGGAAGTGGCACAAATCGGAATTGAAAAGATCAGATTCCATGTGGTTTGATCTGTTTTTGTCATGACCATGTGAACAGCACAGTCACATGAGAACAAAAAAAAAAAAACAGGTTTGGGCCACATTTGACAGAGTAGGCTACGTTCACACTGTAGGCAAAGTTTGAGCTGTAGTAGTTGGTCTGTTTCCTTCTTGCCTTATTGTTTTAAAGTCAATAAAAATGCAGATGTTTCCTAAATTGAATTAACGCAAGTTGTTGGTTCTACAGAAGTGGTACAGTACTTACTGCAGAATTTCAGAACAACAGTGTCTCAGTCAAAGTGGTGCCTAGGGTAGTAGTTTCTGGAGAAGTGGAGTCAAAGGTAGTACTTTCTCCAGAAGTGGTGGCCAGAATAGTACTTTCCACAAAAATTGTGCCAAGGGTAGCACTTTCTGCAGAAGTGTTACTTTCATCCACTATGAATTCAAAAGCAGATAATATGCCAGGCATAGATATAGCAAAGATTGTTGTTCCAGCAGTTTTCATTACATGTGTGGATGTTTCCAACACTATTACTATTGAATTAATCAATGCTGATGTTTCTACAGTGATGACAAGTGTAGGGCTATCTGCAAAATGGGTGGCAAAGGTACTAGTGTGTACAAGTGGTAGTACATTCTAAGGAATCACGTAGTAGGGTAAGTAGTTTCTGTAGAAGTGGTGCCCAGAGTAGTTGTTTCTACAGAAGTGGTTCCCAGGGTAGTGGTTTCTGCAGGAGCAGTTTCTACAGGGTAGTGTGTGTACAAGTTGTGGTACATTCTAAGGTATCGGTATCTGTCATAGTTGTTTTTATCACACAAGTGGTGCCAATGATAGTGGTTTCTGCAGTGCTGGTGCCAAGTGGCAGTTTGATATGTTGGGCTTCCAACAGCAGATGCTATGCCAGGTGTAGATACAACTGAGGTTGTTGTTTCAGCAGTTCTCATTTCAAATGTGGATGTTTCCAATACTAACACCGTTGAACTAACTGATGGTGTAGTTTCAATAGAAGCAGGTCCAAGGGTAGTAGTTTCTTTAGAAGTGGTGCCCAGAGTAGTAGTTTTTTCAGGAGTTGTGCCAAGGGCAGTAGTTTCTGCAGGAGTTGTGCCAAAGGTAGTAGTTTCTACAGAAGTGGTTCCCAGGGTAGTAGTTTCTACAGGGTAGTGTGTGTACAAGTGGTGGTACATTCTAAGGAATCGGTATCGGTCATAGTTGTTTTTTTCACATAAGTGGTGCCAATGATAGTTGTTTCTGCAGTGGTGGTGCCAAGTGGCAGTTTGAGAAGTTGTGCTTCCAACAGCAGATGCTATGCCAGGTATAGATACAACTGAGGTTGTTGTTTCAGCAGTTCTCATTTCAAATGTGGATGTTTCCAATACTAATCCCGTTGAACTAACTGAAGGTGTAGTTTCAACAGAAGCAGTGCCAAGGGTAGTACTTTCTACAGAACTGGTGCCCAGAGTAGTAGTTTCTTCAGGAGTTGTGCCAAGGGTAGTAGTTCCTGCAGGAGTTGTGCCAAGGGTAGTAGTTTCTACAGGGTAGTGCGTGTACAAGTGGTGGTACATTCTAAGGAATCGGTATCTGTCATAGTTGTTTTTATCACACAAGTGGTGCCAATGATAGTGGTTTCTGCAATAGTGGTGCCAAGTGGCAGTTTGAGACGTTGTGCTATTAACGGCAGATGTTATGTCAGGCGTAGATCCAACTGAGGTTGATGTTTCAGCAGTTCTCATTTCAAATGTGGATGTTTCCAATAGTACTTGTGTTGAACTAACTGAAGGTGTAATTTCAACAGAAGCAGTGCCAAGGGTAGTAGTTTTTTCAGAAGTGGTGACAGGGGTAGTACTTTCTACAGAAGTGGTTCCCAGGGTAGTAGTTTCTACAGGGTAGTGTGTGTACAAGTGGTGGTACATTCTAAGGAATCGGTATCTGTCATAGTTGTTTTTATCACACAAGTGGTGCCAATGATAGTGGTTTCTGCAATAGTGGTGCCAAGTGGCAGTTTGAGACGTTGTGCTATTAACGGCAGATGTTATGTCAGGCGTAGATCCAACTGAGGTTGATGTTTCAGCAGTTCTCATTTCAAATGTGGATGTTTCCAATACTACTTGCGTTGAACTAACTGAAGGTGTAGTTTCAACAGAAGCAAAGCCAAGGGTAGTAGTTTTTTCAGAAGTGGTTCCCAGGGTAGTAGTTTCTACAGAAGTAGTTTCTACAGGGTAGTGTGTGTACAAGTGGTGGTACATTCTAAGGAATCGGTATCGGTCATAGTTGTTTTTTTCACATAAGTGGTGCCAATGATAGTGGTTTCTGCAGTGGTGGTGCCAAGTGACAGTTTGCTATTAACAGCAGATGTTATGCCAGGCGTAGATACAACCGAGGTTGATGTTTCAGCAGTTCTCATTTCAAATGTGGCTGTTTCCAATACTACTTGTGTTGAACTAACTGAAGGTGTAGTTTCAACAGAAGCAGTGCCAAGGGTAGTATTTTTTTCAGAAGTGGTGACAGGGGTAGTACTTTCTACAGAAGTGGTTCCCAGGCTGGTAGTTTCTACAGGGTAGTGTGTGTACAAGTGGTGGTACATTCTAAGGAATCGGTATCTGTCATAATTGTTTTTTTCACATAAGTGGTGCCAATGATAGTGGTTTCTGCAGTGGTGGTGCCAAGTGACAGTTTGAGACGTCGTGCTTCCACCAGCAGATGCTATGCCAGGTGTAGATACAACTGAGGTTGTTGTTTCAGCAGTTCTCATTTCAAATGTGGATGTTTCCAATACTAATCCCGTTGAACTAACTGAAGGTTTAGTGTCAACAGAAGCAGTGCCAAGGGTAGTACTTTCTACAGAAGTGGTTCCCAGGGTAGTAGTTTCTACAG